AGCCCCTTTCCCAGCTCCCTCAGCCGCTCCTGGGGCTCCAGCCCCTTCCTCCCTTGAATATCCATACCCACGTGAGCCTGTTCTAGGGCAGAGYCTGCAATTCCTGCTTGCCCCATGTGAATGTCAGAGCATGGTGTTTTGCAGGGCTCTAGCTGACATGAACAATGATGGGAGGATGGATCCGTTGGAGTTTTCCATCGCTATGAAACTCATCAAACTGAAGCTCCAGGGTTACCAGCTCCCGGCCGCGCTGCCGCCTGTCATGAAGCAGCCACCCCTCGCCCTGCCTGGAGCCCCAGGATTTGGTAAGATCCCTGTTTTCCTCCTTTTCACCTTGGTTTGCAGCAATTGCATTGCCATTTTGCAGTTTTTCCAAGAAAATTTTAGGAAAAAATGCTTGTAGAAGCACATGGATTCAACCCCAGATGTTGCATGTGGACTGAGACAAGTTGCACTGGGCTTTTAAACCTGAGCCCTGCTGAACAAYTGAGCTGAGCTCCTGTTTGCTTCAGGTCTGCACTACTCCAAACAAAACATGGCTCAGGCGATGGGGCTAGTGCATGCCAATGGGCTCRAGTTTTGATTTAAACTGTTGGCATTACTGGATCTCCAGCTTTGGCAAATCAGCTCTGTTTTTCTTGAGTTTTTACAATCTCCGCACCTTCTGCTTTTATGAACAGTGTTGCTCTGGCAGGAGCTGAACAACTGGGGATGAAGTACTGCCAAAATCACCATCATTTCAAGGAAAAGAGTAGGGAAAATGGGGTGGGGAAAGAAAATAACTAAATGAAGGTGAACCTCATGTTTGACGCCTTGGTCCTGTTGTGAGAGGTTCTTTGCCRTTCTGGTTTAGTCTTTGCTATGACTCAGGGTTGTTGGTGCCTGAGAATCATGGAATCACAGAATGGTTTGGGTTGGGAGGGGTCTTAGAGCCCATTCAGTGTCACCCCTGCCATGGCAGGGACACCTCCCACTGTTCCAGGCTGCTCCCAGCCCCAATGTCCAGCCTGACCTTGGGCACTCAAAGGGATCCAGGGGCAGCCACAGCTTCTCTGGGCACCCTGTGCCAGGGCYTGCCCACCCTCCCAGGGAACAATTCCTGCCCAACATCCCATCTAAATGTCCCGCGAAAAGGGAACAGGACAGTTCCCTTGATAAACTGCTTGCAGCAGTGTGGTTTGATCCACTGTAACTTCCACAAGTTTTACAGTCAGAAGTTAAAATCTTTGGAAGGMAATAGTGAAACTGGACAGAGGAAATACCGGGTTAAGTGAGAAGAGGCAAAATAAAATGAACCCTGCACAAACCCCACCCAAATCTGTGATTCCTTGTTCTCATCCCCTGTAGATTGGTCTGAGCTGTTTGCACGCCCCTTGTTCTTCCCCTGGCACCACTGGCCCCCCCTTAACCTTCCTGGTGCCCTGAACTGTGCTTACCCCTGAACCTCTCATTCCCGCGCTGTCCCCATTAGCTTTGCCCTGTTTCATCCCAACAAAAGGCTGGAGCACTAATCCTGCAGCTTCTGTCAGGCTGGGGTTCATTCTTCCTGGGGCTGCCAGCGCTGCTCCTCGCCCAGTTCGAGGCACACAATTTCCTTCTGCAGCCAGTGCTGATGGACTGGACTGTGTGGGGCAGCACTGCCCCTGGCATGGGGGTGTCCCGGTGCCCTGTGCCCCGTTCCTGTGCCCTGCTGGTGCTGCCCCAGGCTGGGAGGGCTCTCCCAGGGCTGTGGGAGATCCCCCTGAAGTTTGTGACTCTGCAGTCCCTGCAGGCTCTATCTGGTGTGTGAATCAGAACCAACCTGTGCTTTTCTCGCCCGTAGGTCTCGGGGGCATTGCCAACATGCCCTCCCTCAGCACTGTGGCCCCGGTGCCCATGGCATCTATCCCAGTYGTGGGGATGTCCCCCCCACTGGTGTCCTCTGTCCCTGCAGCTGTCCCTCCCATGGCTAACGGAGCTCCTGCTGTCATCCAGCCCCTGCCTGCTTTCGCTCACTCCGGTACGCTGCTCTCACTCTCTGTCTCCTGCTCTAACAGCTCCCCTGCCATTTCCTTGGGACTCGTGGAGTTAGGCACTCCCAGTGCTGCCTTTGGGGAAGGACTGGGCTTTGCTTTACCCCACTTGGCACACTTGGAGAAGAGCTAAAAGAAGGAATGTGGACATGGCCTCCYGCAGGAGTCCCTCGTGGTGAGAAAATCAAGCAGCACTTGGAGAAATGAACTTGCCAGGAAACTGTTGCCTGGAAATTGGGCCTCTCCTGTCTCTTCACAGCTACTTAAGTACTGCTGTTTGTTAGAGTGACTTTAGTACTCAGCTACATATGGCATCTAACATTTATCAAAATATAATCTGATATCAGCAGGGTTTGCATAAAACTGTGCAAATAAAGAGAAATAAGGGAAGTGCCCTTGTGTTTCCCCTGCCCTGCTGGACTCTGTGATCTTTATATTGTCAAAGAGTTCCCATCAGACCCACAGTGCTTGTACTCGATTAGGAGCTAAATCAATGTCATGGGAATTGCACAATTGAAATGTGAATAGCAATAAATGGGTTTTSTCTCTTCACAGCCACTTTGCCAAAGAGTTCTTCCTTCAGCCGCTCTGGGCCGGGAGCACAGCTCAATGCAAAGCTGCAAAAGGCACAATCCTTCGACGTGGCCAGGTGGGGCTGGGGCAGGGCGTGCAGCTGCGGGGGTTTGGGTCCCAGGGTTGGAAAAACCCCTTCCCTTTCTGAGAGCTGTTGTCTGAAATAATAGCTTGTAAAAATCAYTTGCTGCTGAGGTATCACTTCAGTGTTTCAGGAGATGCTGTAGCTTTATAGGGAATGCTCCGGGGGCAGGGAATCATGGAAATGAAATGGTTAACTGCTAACAGTGTTGACACTATTTTCACTTAATTTTTAGAACAGTATTTGGTTCTGTAAATGTAACCTGCATTGTTCACAGACATTGCTGGTACTGTGAAAACAAGATGAGTAATATATTATTTAAAATTAGCAACACTAGGGTTATTCCTAGTAGCAAAATATTTAATATGTTTTATTTTAAATGCATTTAATTTTAAATGCATTTAAATGCATCACTGTTTCTTGTATATTCTTCAAGATCTGCATGAAAAATCACTTAAAGAGCTTTTAGATTATTCCAAGGCCTAGAAGAATGTGTGGTTGGGCAAATTGATTTTACTTTGGTCTGAAGAAATGGATCTAACAAAATAAAACTTCCTTAGAGGAGCTAAGAGAGGGATTTCCCAAAAGTGTTTGTAAGTCAAACTGTCTYAGAGATCTATGGCACAGGGTTTTTTGCAAGAGGAAAATGGCTTGGGACATAATTTAATGGTTTGSTTTTATTTTCATCTGCAGGCTTGTCTATTGCCCTGCTCTTAGATAAGTGACACTACTCAGTATCTGCAAATAGGATTAAAAGTCATTCAAGACAATTCATTTTCTCTCTGAAATCTAAACCTGTCAGGAACAGAGCAGGGTTCCTCTGATATAATTTATGTGTAGAGTAAACTTAATGTGTGGAAASCCCAAATCCAGCAAAATTGGGAGAAATTCCTATGGGTAAAAATTTAATGTATAGCATTTTTTCTTATTTTTGTTATTGAAGGAGCAGCTTGTTTCTGCTATGCTTCCATGAAGGGGTATTATTAAAGCTCAAGAGTTTGGAAATCAAAAATATAAAYAGATAGTGGTTTGGGCCTTGTCATGTGAGAATGGTTTATAAGGTCAAAAAAAGGACAAAGTTTGAATGTGCTYAAAGAGAGAAAAACTCTGCTCCTTGTTTTTCAGTGTTAAGACTTGTCAGCCTTCAAAAATGAGAAATTAAAGCTACAACTCARCCTTTTTTGSGAGTGAATTAAAATGGGGAGTATTRCATTCTTCACTTGAGTTCCATTATGAGAAACTTCACATTCAAGTGTGGCTTTTTTCCTACATTTCCAGTCTGTATATTTTACATTTGTTTTCCTTCATCAGCTTATGAATTATTTGGTTAAGAGAACGAGTTAAAGACAGAATAAAATGGGATGTTATTCTTCATTTCCTGTCACRTGTTTAGGTAAAAGCTTGTAGCTCCTCTTAACAGTGTAAGTTCCTTCATTCTCTGCCRGTAAAGAAAAAAGCAAAACTCTTAGGAAAAGAACTGTCTTCCAAGAGAATGAATTATGATAAATGTTTGCATACAAAAGGTCCAGCCTGTGGTGGTTTCAGGAGTAGCAGGGAATGGTTTGGATTGGGAGGGACCTTAAAGCCCACCCTGTGGCACCCMTGCYATGGCAGGGACACCTCCCACTGTCCCAGGCTGCTCCCATCCCCAGTGTCCAGCCTGGCCTTGGGCACTGCAAGGGATCCAGGGGCAGCCACAGCTTCTCTGGAACACCTCAGTACCTCACCAACTTCACAGCAAAATTGGGGAAAAAAACCATTCCAGGCATAAAACATGATCTCARTGCAGCATTTCACCCTCTGATGAGGATGGGSAGGCCCTGGCACAGGGTGCCCAGAGAAGCTGTGGCTGCCCCTGGATCCCTTTGAGTGCCCAAGGCCAGGCTGGACATTGGGGCTGGGAGCAGCCTGGGACAGTGGGAGGTATCCCTGCCATGGCAGGGGTGGCTCTGGATAGACTTTGAGGTGCCTCCAGACCAACCCTCCTGTGATTCCATGATTCTGTTCCATTGCATTCCTGAGATTCACTTTCCAATTTCTCCTGTTGTGCTGTGTTTGCAGTGCTCCTGCCGCGGCAGAGTGGGCTGTGCCTCAGTCCTCACGGCTCAAGTACCGGCAGCTCTTCAACAGCCACGACAAAACCATGAGTGGMCATTTGACAGGTACTGCACCAGCTTTTGTTGTCTCCTTTTTCTGAGCTGTAAGAGGCCAATTTAATGCCACKGAGGATGTTGTTCACATAGTGAGAGACTCATGAGTATTTTTCTGTTTGAATCTTCCAAGTGCTTAATGYTCTTGTTTAGAAGCAAGTATTCATCATGGCTGGGATAATTTTATCACCATCTTTCCTTTATTTTCTGCAAAGCTGACACTGGGAAATGTCCTCTGGAAGAGGACACAGTGGGTTCTGTGAAACCTTGTGCAGCCGTTTCCAGTGCTTGGTTCACCCACTGCTGAGAGCACCTGTGCAGTTCCAGTGGTAGACTAGACTGGTACCTTGGCTTAATTTTACCAGTTCTGGTGCATCTCTTCATGTTTTAAAACTTTCTTGGGTTTTAATTTGAGTGATTTGTTTGCCCAGAGAAGCTGTTGCTGCCCCTGGATCCCTGGCAGTGCCCAAGGTCAGGCTGGACATTGGGGCTGGGAGCAGCCTGGGACAGTGGRAGGTGTCTGTGCCCATGGCAGGGGTGGCACTGGGTGGGCTCCCAACCCGGGGTGGTATTCTGTGGTCACTGTGCAGAAGGGAGGCATTATTTCTTGGTTATTTGGGAAAGYCAAGTTCCTGCTGGTCACACTTCTTGCTTATTTTGTTAATATTTGTTTTCCTTTTAGGTCCCCAAGCAAGAACGATTCTCATGCAGTCAAGTTTACCCCAGGCTCAGCTGGCTACAATATGGTAAAAATAAACCTTTCCATTTCCATCCAAAAACAAACTTTTCTGAAATCTTGGCACTGGAGTCTGTGGGGTTTTCTCCATTTTCAGTCCCACTGATAAATCACGTTACTCTTTGTCATGTGTAACTTTATAAACAACACCTACTTCTAAGCCTTTGTTAATACCATTCCACAAGAGTACCAGGGGCATTTTTTGTGGGATGTTTCAGAAGTTGGGGTTCAAAGCTTGGTTTTTAGGCAGATCAGATGTTCAGCACTCTGTGTCTTCCACATCCCCTGATACTGTACCAGGGAAATATTTACCTTTGTACAGGTGGTAGAACAGGAAACTTAACCCAAASCACACTTTCTGTGGGATTTCTCTGCCTTTTCCATGAGATTGGAAGGGCTGATCTCCCAGGGGCTGGAGTTACAGACCTTTACAATAGGGGATTTTAAAAGGATTTGTCTCAGCTTCTCTTTTGTCTTCCAACTTGTTTGCTGAACTATATTATGTTTTTCTTGCCCCATGGAAAGTTGTTCCTAATTAACTTCAACCTTTAGGAATGTTTGCTTGAGAAGCATTGGAGCTGACCCAGGAGCTCAGTGTGAGGATGGCATTGGTGCAGTCACTCTGACAAGGCCATTCAGCTGCACTTGTTCTCTTTGCAAAGCACTGGGAATTGTGTTATAAATTAAAAACCACTCTTTCCTTTGTTTCCTAACAAAGGGATAAAAATAAATCAGCCCAGTCCCCCAGCAGATGATTAAGCAAGAAATGCTCTTTTTGCCAGCCTTGGAGTAGTTGTGTGGGCAGGCTGCTGCCACCAGCTCACTCCAGGAGCTCCAAACAAGACTCCCTCAGCTGGGGTCATTCTCAGCTGCCAATCCATTGGGATAAGGAATGGATATTGCAGCTCTTGTTGTCCTTTTCCTGAGCYCTCTCCTGTCTGGGGCAAGGTTTGTCAGCTTGTGCTGGGTTGAGATCCTGACTAACACACACAAAGGGAAGAGTTGATGTTCAGCCTCCYCGCTGTCTGGCAGCTCCTAACCAAGGTGTGCAGCCAGCTGATCCATTATTTCTTTGCATGGTGGATTCTCAGTGTGCTGGCTTGTTCTTGTGCTCCAGCCGGAGGAGTTCAATGTGGACACAATTGTGGATTAAGTGAGGCTGTGATTGTCTCCCAAATTTAAATCCCATCAACAAAGTCTGTGCCTTGGGACATCAACAGAATTTATCACTTGCTTCCCTTTGAATTTCACAGCATCATGGGCATCATTTCACTCACAATTAGAGTGCAGCATGCTGGAGAAACAAATCCAGAGCTGGAAGGAACCCACAGGGATCATCCAAGTGCAGCTTCTGCCCAGCAATCCCAGCCTGTGCATCCCTGGCAGCGCTGTCCAAACGCTCCTGGAGCTCTGGCAGCCTCGGGGCCGTGCCCGTTCCCTGGGGAGCCTGGGCAGTGCCAGCACCCTCTGGGGACAGAAGAACCTTTCCCTGCTCTCCAGCCTCAGCCTGCCCTGGCTCAGCTCCAGCTGCTTCCTGTCCCTTGACAAAGCTTAGGCTGTTAATTTTGACCAATACTACATTAGTAGGAGTAAGAGCATTTTGTGGCTCTGTTGGAGGTCTGGTTTGGGGCCATCCAGAGATGTTACTCCATAATTTTTAATATGTGCATAGTGCCAGGGTTGGTTTGTGCTTGTCAGGACTAGAACATCCATGGCTTTGATTTCAATGCCAGTGGGTGCTATGGAATGTGAGATAGGAGGCTCYGGGGAGGAAAGAGACCAAACCCAAAATTTCTGCCAAAGATCTGAGCTGGTTCTGCTGGGTGTTCACGAGAACTCCCTTGTTTATGTTCCTTCTCTGGCAATGCTCCAGGCAGCACGCAGAGCAGGTGAAGGAGAAACCATGGCTGCAAGGCTGGGTTTAAGGCAGACAGCCATGAAGAATGGGGGAATAGGGAAGCATTTGGGGTTTGCTTTCCATTGTTTTGGAAAAACAGAGTAGTGTGGAAAAAAATGAAAAAAWTGAATTAATWTGGAACTTAACATGTTAAAGCAATGCCTTTGAAGATTTTTAATATTTAATAATTACTTTGTCCTTCCCTTTAACAAGGAATCTTTCTGACATTGATCAAGATGGGAAGCTGACAGCTGAGGAGTTTATCCTGGCTATGCACCTCATTGATGTAGCTATGTCTGGTCAGCCACTGCCACCTGCACTGCCTCCAGAGTACATCCCACCCTCGTTCAGGTAAAGGCTCATCCCTTGGGATCTCACACCTCACTTTCGTATTTTATCTGGGAAATTCCTGTGAGTGCCAAGTACAGGACAAAGAGCAGTGACCTCCCTTCTGTCCTGTCAGAACAGAGTTTGAGTGGATGCTTCTGCTCTCACACCTACCACAGCTTGCTCAGTCTGCCCGTAGAAATCCAGATTTTATTTCAGGCTTATAATCCTGTTGAGCGAATGGAATATATTGGAATTCCACTTCCAGACCTCTTTTGGTACAGCTGGATCTGTGAGCAGTGAGGTCACTCATCTCTTCCTCCATTTCACTTTCTTGTGGAGAAATAGGTGGGAAGACAGTAACAGCAATGGAAATAAATCTTTACCTACCATGTTCTTCAAGTATCCTCCTAAAGATTCCCAATTTTTGTGTATTACACTTGGGATCTTGCTTTTGGCTTGACTATAGTGAGCTCTTCCTCTGTCTCTGCAATTTTTGCTGTAGTTTAGGTCAGCATTTCCCCAGCTCCAGACTGGTAGGGGAAAAATCTCCTCCCAGGTGAGTGATCTTGGGGACAGGGTTGAACACATCTGGAAGCTGCATGGAGAACTTGGGACTGGGTTTCTCAGGTCACCAGTAGCTGCTGGGACCCTGGAAAATCCTGTTCTCCTGAGGCAATGCCTGAGTGGGACCCTCTGGGCAGCTCTGAATGAGCATTAATACCATTACATCATTGCATTTAATTTGATCTCATTATTAAATCATAAATCATTTGGGCAGGCCTGGGTTCTGTCAAGCACCTGACATTCCTGTTTCCTTGGCAGAAGAGTCCGCTCTGGCAGTGGGATTTCTGCTGCCAGTTCAGTGTCTGTAGACCAAAGGTTGCCAGAAGAACCAGCATTGGAAGAAGAGCAGCAGCAACTGGAAAAGAAATTACCAGGTGGGCAATGGAAAACAGRGCTGTTTAGTGTGCTGTTCCCAGAGGGATGTTCCCATCAGGTCACAGCCTGGGAGGGAACACAGGCTGACTGAGAAATGGCTTTCCAGAGCAGTCTGGGACATGTCAGAGGCACAACCAAGACATTGCTGGGTCCAGCTCATTCCTGACTGGTGCCCCATCCTTGGGGTTGGTGACACTGGGGGTGGGAGGAGCCTCAGGCTGCTCATCTGCTGCACTGCCCACGCAGGCAGCCTTGGCACAGGATTGGCAGGAAGAATTCCTGCTGCCTTCCTCCTCTGGCTTGGGTGGAGCAAAGCTTGGCTGAGGTGCTCTGTGATAGATCCCAGTATTCCCACAGAAACCCATTTTCTTGGAATCTGTGGAACAGTTTGGGACTTTGTACAAATTTCAGCAGTCCCAGGAAAAGAAAAAAAAGGAAGAGGCAGCTGGAGGGGGGACAAACTTGAAAAGACAAGAATTCAGCTGGTTCAGCAGGTGTTGGACCGATGTGTCCAACTGTGGGTGCACACATGGAAGGAAATGTGTGCTCTCCCTTGCCTTGCATCCCAAAAATGTCCATGATGGGTTGACAGGGGAGAGAAATTTGGACTTTGGGCTGTGGGAATGAAAAGGAATGGAAGGTGAAGTGAAAGAATAGTTTGGAGGGAGGGGACAAGGAGCAAGGAACAGGGGAAGGACAGTCCCTGGGACTGCAGAGGGTTGTCAGGGGAACTGTGCTGGAACTGAGGCCATTCTTTTAGGACGGTAAATGATGAGGATGTGCATCTGCAGGAATCCAGATTTCCTGGGCTCAGCTGCTCAAGAACCTAAATGGTTTCTTCTCCTGACAGTAATGAGTAATCTAATTGAGTTGAGAACAGCAACTTTAAATGAGTTCTGGTCATTTGCATAATGGCTTTTTGATGATGTCAGCAGCTGAATTCTTTGCCTTGCACTAATGGAAGTGTTGGCTTTTGGAATGCTGCTGTTATCCAATGGGCAGAGGAATTCCAGATCTGTGTCCTCACAGAGGATCAGCTGGAGAATGGCTTGTCTAAATTATCCCCACTTGCTGGGCTTTGTGGAGAAACGTGGAAGCCTGAGGAATGGGAATGGAAATTTCCTCCTTGTTTTGCTGAGGATGCGGGTTTGAGGGGATCAGCAATGTCTGTGCTAGTGCTGAACCCCTGGCTGGCCTGTGGAGCTCAGTTATCCTTTGTGGGGGGCTGCATGCACTCCTGCACAAAGGCTGTTCCACTTTGTTGGGGGTTCATTTGGATTTTTCAAATGTCCATAAATTTTCCTATCTCGTCCACAGACGACTGACTAAAAATGTAAATGAGTTTTTAAAAAACATTTTCTTCCTCTAAACTCCCAAATAGGTTAAAAAGTCAAAAGTCATTATCTTTGTAGGGTGCCGTATCTTCACTGGAAATAGTTTAGTTTAATACATTTGGATTTATATGGATTTATTGAAGTCAGTAGCAGAGTGTAACTGTCCTTTTTGCCCCGTGTTTCCGTGCACCAAGTGACCTTCGAAGACAAGAAGCGGGAGAACTTTGAGCGGGGCAATCTGGAGCTGGAGAAGCGCAGGCAGGCACTCCTGGAGCAGCAGCGCAAGGAGCAGGAGCGCCTGGCCCAGCTGGAGAGGGCCGAGCAGGAGAGGAAGGAGCGCGAGAGGCAGGAGCAGGAGCGCAAGCGGCAGCTGGAGCTGGAGAAACAACTGGAGAAACAGCGGGAGCTGGAGCGGCAGCGCGAGGAGGAAAGGAGGAAAGAGATCGAGAGGAGAGAGGTGAGCCAGGGCAGCAGGGAGAGGTTGTTCCCTGGGTTTGGGGGATCCGGGTGGGAGCTGGGCACTCAGCAAACATTTAAACCATGAGCTGAGATCTCTGGGGTGTTAAAGGCAAGGAAGGGGCAGTTCATTCATTGCTTCATTTGTCCTGCAAAAAGAATGGAGGAGACATTGACATCTGGGACAGCTGCTTCTGACTTCTTAAAAAAAAAAAAAAGATTACTATTATCATTATATTTGATGTTAAGAGGTGTTTGAATGAATGAAGAAAAGCTTGGGGTGTTCATGATTTTCCAGTGATGAGTTCATTTTATAGAATCCCAGAATGGTTTGGGTTGGAAGGGRCCTTAAAGATCCTCCAGTTCCAACTCTCTGCCATGGGCAGGGATAACATTCACCAGACCAGGCTGCTCCATCCAACCTATCCTTTAATTTGGGCCAGGCCTTTAATTTATTGAAGAAAAGGCACCCTTGTTAACCCAAAAAGCTCGTATTTTCTCCCATTGCCAAACAAGGATGAATTCAGCACAGAAGCATTTTGCTGCTCTTTGCAAAGTGCAGAAGGTCGAATGTTGGAGATTGGAAAGGGGTTTGGATATGTCCTGGTGAGTTCTCCAAATCCTAATATGAAACAACTTACTGCATTGGCAAACTGGATCTTGGAAAACAGGAGAACAGAGGGATTTGCTGTTCACTCATCTGTGCTGTGCGCAGAAGCCTCGCAACCACTGAGCAATTTATGTGTGCAGAGGCACAGAGCAGCCCCTGTTTATACCAACGTTTTAATTGAATGTGAGATGATCAATATCAGAAATGATGGATATTTCTTTTTAATTCTGCAGGCTGCCAAACGGGAGCTGGAGAGGCAGCGGCAGCTGGAGTGGGAGCGCAACCGGCGGCAGGAGCTGCTGAACCAGAGGAACAAGGAGCAGGAGGACATTGTGGTGCTGAAGGCAAAGAAGAAAACCTTGGAATTCGAGCTGGAAGCTCTCGTGAGTGGTGGTGGTGGTGCAGGTCAAACACACAAACACAGTGTGGTGGTGACTGTACCCTGGCCATGTTTATCTTCTATAATTTCAGTTTAAAATATGAAATAAAAGTAGGTTTTAGATCCTGACTTGCATGACCAAACGTTTTGGTTAAAAAAAAAATAAAATAGATCTTTTTCTTTTCTTTTAAAGAACGATAAAAGAAACCAGTTGGAGGGGAAGCTGCAGGACATCAGGTGTCGGCTGTCGACCCAAAGACAAGAAATTGAAAGTACAAATAAATCCCGAGAACTCAGAATTGCAGAAATCACCCATTTGCAGCAGCAGCTACAGGTGAAAAAGCCTTCTCTAATTTTATTCTTAGCTTTGAATGCTGACCTCCTCAAAAACATCGACATCCTGAGCAAACTTGGGCTGACCTGTTCCTCACACTTATAGAATCACTGTAGATAATCTGTCATTGCTGTAATGAATGTCCTTGAGACGTGGCTGGGAATTGCTTCCTACCCTTGAGGGTGTGTCTGATTATCCCTTCATCCTCCTGGACTCCTTGTGGGGAGCAGGAAATGCTTTGGCTGCAGGTGCTTTTGGGGATGGGGAGAAGCAAATTTCCCAGTGTGTATTTTGCTGTTGTGTGCTGGGGGATAGGATTGACTGCAATGAAGTGGCTTGTTGGTGTTTTTTTCTTAATTATAAGGTTATGAACTTTCAAAATGGAAGTTCCCAGTGAAAACATGGAGTTCTTGTTCTAACCCTGGCATTTGCCATTCTTACTGATCTAAAATTCTGTGTCAGATTAAAGGAGGAGCTGGGTAGGTGTCTGCCTTTGGTGAAAGAACATTCTCTGTAGTTTGTGAGGGTTTTTCAGTGGGTTTTAGGATTTGATTTAGGAATTTTTCTCTATATTAAATTCTTCATATTGCTTCAAATTAATGCTTGGCTGGTCAAGGGGGTCTCTCAGTATGTTTCTGCCACTACAAACAGAATCTCTCATTTATGTTATGACGGCTGAGGTGTAAAACCTGTCGTAAAACCCACTCCTGCTGTTCCATCCCAGCTTCACTCCTGCTTTTCCTTGCATTTGTTCTGTCAGGTTTGGGCTTTGAGGTGGTTTGGCACCAATAACTGGGGCTGTGTGGTAATTATTCTGTCATTGATCTGCACCACTGATAATTCACAAACTGTCACTTGAGGTGTTTTTATCCCAGTTGTGATCCCAGGAAATGTGTCAGTATCTGGGAGAAAAGGCCAGATTTTATCTGGGGAGAGCTGTAAAGCTTTTTCCTGAAAAAAAGACATTGTTTTTTAAATGTCCCATAAATTTTCCTATGTCATCCATAGACGACTGACTAAAAATGTAAATGAGTTTTTAAAAAATATTTTCTTCCTCTAAACTCCCAAATAGGTTAAAAAGTCAAAAGTCATTATCTTTGTAGGGTATGTATCTTCATTGGAAATAGTTTAGTTTAATACAGCTGACACTTCCTAAGGGAAGATGAGTTAATTCAGAGGAGTAATTATTCTTCAACTTATTAATTAGTTTCAACATCGTGTTTAATGAAGCTTGTGAAAGAAATTGTGTCCCAGTTAATCCTGGGTGATGAAAAGGTGTGCCAGGTCTGTGGATCTGTGGTCTCTGATTGAGTGGTCTTTCCAGGTATGCTGAAAAGGATCCTGCCTTCCAAATGCCTAAGCTGTGTTTGAAACACATTTATGCTGTGTGGGATTTGCTCATTACCTGCAGGGATTATTTGCCTCCTTGATGAACCCTTTGGCTTCCAAGTAGTTTGAATTTTCCCTCATTCAAGGGACAGGAACTGAATTTTGATTTCCCCTGCCGTGTGGGACATTGCTCAACTCTTGGCCATTTCTTGTTGTATGAGTTTCCAGAGTTACTGATGCTATTAATTTATTTCATCTGTTTCTTCAGTACAAGGCGAGGATGTGGAATCCATGTGGGGGCGGTTCTTGGGTAGATACTTATTCCATGGTTGTCTGTGATTTCAGGAAGCAGGACTTGACCTTCACGATCCCTTGGCATTCTCTGTCCTTACACACTCCCAAACTATTCAGTGCATTGAGTAATCTGGGATGTTTGCAAGTGTTCTGGCCTTTAGAAACAAAGCAGCTGATGTTGTGATCACATTCCACCCTCAAACGCTGTCCTGTGGTGCTTCTTGTGCTTGGAGTAGAAATTTTTCTGTTCCATGTTGACATCTGTTCTGCTGTTTGGTTGATGTGCAGCAATCTCAGATTGACAGAAGCACAGAGCGGTTTTTGGAAGGGACCTTAAAGCTCATCCCGTTCCACCCCGTGTCATGGGCAGGGACCCTCCCAGCAGAGCGAGATTACAGATCAGCTGTTTGCCATTTGCTGCAGGTAGATGACAGTCCCAGGATGACAGCCACAGAATGTCCTGAGTGGAAAAGGAGCCAAAGATCACCCAGTGCCACCCCTGTCCCTGCCCAGCCMCCCCAGCAATCCCAGCCTGTGCATCCCTGGCAGCGCTGTCCAAACGCTCCTGGAGCTCTGGCAGCCTCGGGGCCGTGCCCGTTCCCTGGGGAGCCTGGGCAGTGCCAGCACCCTCTGGGGACAGAAGAACCTTTCCCTGCTCTCCAGCCTCAGCCTGCCCTGGCTC